TGAGGCGGCGTTTGCTCTGCCTGGCCGACTTATGCTTCCAGGCTGTTCGTCACGGCGAGCCGCAAACTGTGCTGCGTCTGTCACCTGAGCTTCTTGCTGAGCTTGCTACTTTTGTGCTCTTAGGGCATACTGCAGTGCTTGATCTTCGCGCCCCCGTGCGCGAGCACATCATCGCAACCGATGCGTCAAGCTCTTGGCAAGCGGCTGTTGAGGCTGACATTGAGGTCGGCGTTGCCGAGGAGTTTTTCAGGCATGCTTTGCAACGTGGTGCCTGGACTCGCCTCCTCACCCCACCCTCGGCATGGCTTCGTGAACATGATCTCCTGTCTCCAGAGTCAGAGCTACCCGGGGACATGCAGTTCGTTACTCACCCGGTCGCTGAAGCTGCAGCCCGTGTGCCCGCGTACCGATGCCTTTGGAGGCAAGAATACAGGACGCGCATGCACATAAATATCGCTGAGCTTGGCGCCTACTTGCGCGAGGAGTCCAGACTCGCCGGAAGGTGCAAATCTGTGAGGCAGCTTTTTGGATTGGATTCACAAGTATGCCTCGGTGCACTCGTCAAGGGCAGGTCTGCTAGCCCGGCCCTGAACAGGATGTTGCAGGCTTCTTTAGGTCCACTGCTGTCAAGTCGGATCTTTCCTGCATATTTCTTTTTTCCCTCGGCGCTTAATCCCGCTGATGATCCCACCCGTGGGCAGGCCGTGCGCTGACCCTCTCTGCAGCCCCCTGACTGGTGGCATGAACTTGTTGCGGGCTCCGTTGAGTCTTTTGACGCTTTTCTTAAGCTCGTTGAGTCGGATGATGGGGATGGCGCTGTCTTTCAGCAAGAGGATCTGCTTGACCTTGGCGGTTCCCGGCCTTTGGTCCTGCAGTCCAATCGCGAACGAGGGTTGTCCGCCAAGCCGCCTTCTCGCTTGCGGGGTTCGGGTAAGCTGTCAAAAAGCCCAGCCAGGTGTAGCCCTACCTATGCCCCTGCCGCGGCTTGTCACTCTGAACCGGTGCATCCCGCCACATGTCCCACAGGCCCGAGGTCTTCAGGTGCAACCCCGCTCGTTGAGTGTGCCGGTACGCTTGCATCCGTCACGTCTCAGCATGCAGGTGCGAGCCCCGACTCGTTTCGTGCAGGCCTTCAGCATTGCGTTGCAGGTCCCGCAGGTGCAAGGTCTTCAGGTGCAGTTCTGGCTGATCTTTGTGCTCGGTCACTTGCAGACGCGTGTCAACATGCTTGTTCGTGTCCCGGCGTTCCTGGCGCAGGCAGCCGCCAACCCGCCACAGGTTTTGCAGGCGCAAGGTCTTCAGGTGCAGCTCCGGTTGGTGTGTGTTCTGGTACGCTTCCAGCCGTCACGTCTCAGCATGCAGGTTCGTGCCCTGGGCTTTTTAGTGCAGGCCATCAGCATCCCGACACAGGCTGTGCAGGTGTAAGGTCTCTCGGCGCGCCGTCTGCTGTCACGAGTGCCTTCCTGGGTGCAGGCGACAGGTCTTTAGGTTCAGTCTGTAACCTTGGTGAGCCGCAGTCGCAACCCGAGGTCCCCGTGCCCTTGGCTTGTTTTCCTCGCTCCGCCTTCACGCTGCCGCGACGCAAAACTTTTGACTGGTGGCTTCCTGGTGTGCTGTGCTTGGGTTCAGCGCGCTGCGCGCCGATCCGCGCGCTGCTGCGTCACGGCGCGCCCTGGGTGCTTTGCTTGGACCGTGCGCGTGGCGTTGGTGAAGACTGGGGCCTCGAGCCGCTGCAAAGGTGCATCGAGGAGCTCATTTCCTCCGGGCATCTGCTTGCCGTGATCGTGAAGCCTGCCGCTTCTTCTTTTTCGTGTGCTGTGAGACCACCTGTCAGGTCTCGGTCAAGCCCTTCTGGCCTTGACCACCTTTCTCCAGGTTCCTTCAGTAAGGTGCTCGCCGACAACTTGCTGAATCAGTGGATTTTAAGAGTTATCCGTCTCGCTTCATCACTTGGCCTTTTCTACTGTGCTGAAAATCCTGACACGTCTTACTTCTGGCGGATGCCGGGTTGGGAGGACGAGGCTTCCGCAGGTTCGCGTCGCGTCTTTCGTGCGGACTTGTGCCAGTTTGGTTGTCTTTGGCGGAAGCGCACGAGAGTTGCCACTAACACTTCCCTTGCAGGTGCCAGGTTGCTTTGTGACCGTGCTGTGCAGCACTTGCGCTTGGTCGGGCGTTCCTCCGTGCATCGCTTGCCTTGGACTTCGGTTGCTGACACCACTCCGGCTGGATTCGCCGATGCCTTAGCGTTGGCCGTCTCCACTTCTTGTGGATGGTCTGCCGCTCGTTCCCTTGACCCGTCAGCCTGCGCAAAGCTTGGGTGCTGCTGCCGAGTCGGTGAGGCCAAGAATCCGGGCCCCCGCCGCGCCTCACGGACACTCCTTGCTGCTCGGCGCTCCGGCGACTTGGAGAGTCGCCCTCTCCAGTCTGACACCTCCCTTCGGCTCGGGACCTGGGCTTGGGATGCGTTCTTGGTTTGGGTCTCCCACTCTCTCTCGGTCGATCCTCTGTCGGTCTTTGCGTCTTGTCCAGTTCTAGCTGCCATGGCCCTTCGTGCTTACGGAAACCACTTGTACGCTTCTGGGGCTTCAAAGCACACTTTCCGGTACACGCTGGTCGGGGCTCAGCGAGCCATTCTGACTCTGAAAGGGTCGCTCGGACCCGCGTGGGAACTTTTGACGAGATGGGAAGCGGTGGAGCCAACTGTGCACCGCACTCCTCTGCCCGAGCCTCTGCTCCGAGCGATGGTCACAGTCGGTTGGTTACGTGGCCTTAAACGTTGGGCAGGCTGTGCGTTGCTGGCTTTTTATGGTATGGCTCGTGTGGGAGAGGTGCTCAGGTGTGAAAGGCGTCACCTGCTCCTGCGGGATGACCTCTTTCACTCCGCCGAAGCCCTTTTTCTACGGCTGGACACCTCAAAAACTGCGACGAGAGGAAGACCCAAGGTTCAGCACATCCGTATCGACGACTCTTCTGCGATGGAGCTCATCACGATGGCCTTCAAGGACCTTCAGCCTGCTGAACCCTTGTTTCCTTTAAGCCCTTCTGCATTTCGCAGTCGGTGGGACAGTTGTCTACGAGTCCTTGGCCTCGCTGGTGCCGTCAACGTCACCCCCGGCTCTCTTAGGGGCGGAGGTGCAGTTTCTGCATATCACAGAGGAGTACCGATACAGGACATACAGTGGAAACTTCGCCTCAAGCACATGGCCACTTTAGAGCACTACTTGCAGGAAGTGGCCGCCCTTGGGGCGCTCAACCAGGCTTCTGATGATGCAAAACGGCTGATTCGATTCGCTCTTCAGCTTTACCCGTGCCTTTGCTACAGCGCGTAGCGCCGCCCTGCAGGCCTCCGGCCCTTGGTGCAGCCACGAACACGT